TGTTACCCAAAGACCAAGTGTTTGATGACAATGAGGAGCAACTGATCCGCAAGAAAGAGAGCGACAAAAAGCCTAAACTTGTCGTCAATGCGACCGATGAGACAAACAGTGCCATCAGTGGTGAGACGGCGACTGCGGAACAGACCAATGAGTTGAATAAGTCATCGCTGAACACATCCACCACTGATAATGATGTGTTAGATAACCCTTACTTAAGACCAATCAAAATGTCTTCACGAAAGAGAAGTCGAAAACAATTTGAGACATGAGTTGGAAAATGATGTCAACTCTCAAAGTGTAGTCATTTCATGCATTGTCTCATAATCACTGAATCTGACAAATAATATATGAAAATCTGGTTTTATTTCTGCTCTAATGAATGAATGAATGAACAAATAGTAAAACCTTTTATTCAAAATACACACCAATTATTCAAACGTTTGGTCTCATTTTATGGTATAATTATCACTCATTTCCATTTATTGCTACAATGAGTGTTACTTTTGTATGCAATTACCGTATTGTACTGTATATAATGTTAATTGAAAGCTCAATAAAATACAATTTATAGTAATCAATGTGTCGGCGCTTTTCATTATACAACAGTATTAAGTAATCGTCACCATTATCATTGTATTACAATTTGTTTGATATATTAAATGTCTGGCCGGTCTACATACAAATATCGGAGATTTGATTGCATATTAGTTATAATTGACTATTCATATAATTATTATAATTTATAATACATAATACATAAATACAATATTATTGTCCATAATGCTGCATTGAGTTTGCAATGCATTTTATTATAATACAGTATATGGTTTTACAATTTTAAGGTTGTATCTAGATTCTAAGTGTACAAGGTGTATGATATCATATACTGTTGAATATTATACATTTATTACAGTATACTTTATAACAAATTTGTAAAAATAAGTATCAGACATCTGATTTATGAGTTTTTCTAATTATCAAAAGATTTTAAGTATTTCTTAATAATTAACTTTTTCTCTAATTTATTAAATATTTCTAATGACATCTAATCTATATTTAGTGCTAAATAATTGATTAATAGTTTTGAAATATAGGCTAATTGTTTGATTGAAATTCAATTTGCAATCATTTTGAATATCATTAGACTTTTGACTTAAATAAATAAAATGACATAAGTTTTTAGAATTGACTTTTAAAATTGAATTAATTTATTAATTTACATAAAAATGCAATTGGGAGGGGAGGGCGTCATTAAGGCATTTAATACAGAATATGACAAAATTGTCAAAAAGCCGAAAGCTTCGGGCAAATATCGGATACTTGGAAAGGTATCAAATAAGAGAAGGGTACTTCCTAAAGACATTCTCAAATAACTTTTCAATTAAAATTGACACAAAATT